GGGGGGGAGGGAAGCACCTGTTCGCGGCCCACAGTGCGCTGTAGCTTTGCCGTCGTTGTTGCTCAGGGCCCTCCGTCTCGAGGCCGGGCCCTACCCGTAATTTGGGCCTCAAGCCCCACGCGACCGGAGCAGCACTGCCGTATGGTGGCCGCTGCCTGCCCGCCTTGCGCTCACTGCTGGGGCACTAGTGGCATCATTCTCTGTAGCTCGGGGTGGCTGGCTCCATCCCTCTGAGGTAAGAGCGAGGGTGGTCAGGGAGTCCCACTTGCCCTGAATCTTTTGCCAAGGAGCACAGACTTTAGTGGCAAAGTTTGTACCAGCTGGGTAAGGAGAGGACCCCAGTGACTGGTAGCTCAAATAAAATCCAGAGCAGGCCCTCGCTTACAAGAGACAGCATCTGTTGCTGAACAGGGCCTGGAAGCCGTGTGGACGCAAAGCTCACTTTTTCTAGTGAGCTCTAGTGATTTCTGAATTCTCTTTTCTAAGAGGTGTCGTTGTCTCTGAGTAGGTCAGCACAGTTCAATTCTCCACTCAAGTCTCTCTCCTTTGTTAAAAAAGTTTTGAGGTCTTTGAAGTTTTCTTACTGGACTGAGTGGATGGGGCTATTTGGTCTCTCTGAGATTGGCACTGTCCTCACCCTTTTCAGTCCCTTTTTCATTTGAATGTAAAATGGGCTTCGTGTCATAAACATCTCTCTAAAAGCAGTGGTGAATCTTCTCCCTTTGCTTTGAGCGATTATACTTCTCTGCTCTGAGTTCAGTGGATCAGTCAGTGTCTTTCTACCCATGAGAAATATCTGTAGTAGACGGCAATGGTCTTAGCAGTCAGCTGTATAAAATGTGTTCCAACTCCCTTTTAGCATAGTATCTCTCTCTCAACCCCCCAACATAGCTTTTGGACCTTCTGGACTGTTTCAGTCTAACCTGGTAGGGTAGTGAGCTGAAGAAGATTGTTCCTAGATGTTTTGCAGAAGCATAGTGTATGGATAGAGAACAGAAATTATGCCCTCTTCCTTTTCCCTCATTGAGAGCATAAAGAAGAGCTTCATTTTTTAAGTGTCCTGAGAGACAACACCCAGTCTGTCAGTACAAATACACTAATGCCAAGGCAACTACTGTATGTGCTGTCTTTTGCTTGGTCAAAACGATGAGAGGTTGGATGTAGGATTGTTGTGAGGGAAGTGGAGGCACATGGGGTGACAGATGCAAATCTGTCGTAAGCCAGGGTTTGTTAGTTTTGGTGTCCATAGAGAAACTTCTAATTAGTTGAAGTAGTTTCTCTTATTTTTGGAACACTTAGATTCCCCAGGATTTTAATACTAATAGTGTAAAAATACACTTCTCCTTTATAGTGCAAGGCTTTGTACTTGAAAGATTGAAAGGAGAACTCAATGCTGTGATGGGGAGTGTTTGTTTCATGAGCAATTCATGAACTGGAAGGATGTGTCGTAACTGGGAAATGGTTGAAGTTGTTCTCTCAAGGTGACTTGACTTCCCCCTGAAGCAGCTTCTCTTGCTGTTAGAAGCAAAGGAATTGGTCATTGAGAATGGCTTATATCTTTTCATTTTTCTTCTTTGAAATTGATTCCTGTCCTTTGCATCTCATTTTCTTTATACCTTCTCTGTCAACTCCAGCGCATGAGAAAGTAGTTAGGAGGAAAAGGAGTGAGTGGACTGTTGCCTCTGTAGCAGCAGAGACTTTAAAGAGCTGGACAAAATGAAGAGCAAGAGTACTTGTTTGTTAACTGAAAGGCTCTGAAAGGCCTATGAACACAACAAAGGGAAAGGGAAATTGAGGGATTGATTCATCAAAGCTTTTGAATAGAAGCAGTGCCATGAATTGCATGTGAAGGGCTAGTCTTGTCTGGCATAACAGCTGCTGCTGTCAAGATCCTCTCCAGTTCTAGTTTCTGTTATTCGTAGCATTTACAAACTAAAATACCCCACAAAGAATAGTGTAGCTGCTTTCCAAGCCTCTGAACAGTAAGAAAGTTTTGCCTTGCAGTTATGAGCAGTATTATGTTATTCTAGGTGCTCTCCGAGCACGTGACGAGATGCTCCCTGCTCCAAAGAGTTTGCAGCTATTGTAACACTTTCTTTGTTCTGCTGTTTTTGGTGGTTGTGAAAATGCAGTTCCTCACCTGTACCCCATCTCTCTTGATAGAGGTTTTACTTGATTTCAGTGTATATCATTCAGAACTTCAGTAGCTCTTGCCTTTTTTTGGTGTCATTCCCTCAAGAAGGGAAACTACAAGATTAAGCTATTTGTCTCCCAGCTGAAGCATGACTGCTCTTCTGAGCTGTAGATAGGGTGTTGATGCTAGTGCAGGAGAGTCCCTCCTGGGGGTTCTGGGCAGAATCCTTTAATCCATGCTGAAATCTCCATTGATACTAGGTGTTACATGGATTCACCCAACTCACGTGACATTTGTTGGGGAAGTATTCTTTTTAATACAAAATAGTGTTACCAGGTGTAAGTTATGGTGGGAGCAGAAAGCGTTCTGTATCTTGCCTAAAAGGTAATGATTATGACTGGCTCTTCTTTCCCTTTGATGGCCAACGTTAGGGTGGCCAACATTTGTTTTTGTTTGCATGCTTACTGAAGATTGAGCCTCTTCCCTTCTTTTATACCTTCAGGGTTGTATGCACACTGCACCTCTGTCTGGATCCCACTAAGATGGAGTGGTGGGCTAAGCGCAGTCCTGACTTCAGTGTACTGTTACTGTGTCCACCAGCCTCTGTGGAGTGTTTTCTTTTTCCACCTCCCATGGAGCTGACATGAGTGTCCTGCTGACAAGCATAAAAAAGCTGAGATACTTATGTGAGCCTTTCCTGTTGTTGCAAATAGAGCAAAGAATATACACCTTTTGCGTCATCTCTCTCTGGCAGCCTGCAATGCTTTTGCTGCAGAGAATACTTCTCTGCTTTTGATTCCAAAGGGACAGTTGCAACTGATGGAAGTTGCTGCAACTGGACAAGTATCATGTGCTATAAGAATAATTAGCACAGTCTTAATCCTACAACAGCAAGCACAAATGCATTAGACGATTACCGGATTGCTTTCTGTGGCCTGAAGTTTCCTTATACAATGGGAGTTCAGTTGCTGTTTTATTCATGCGGTGCAGGTCAACTGAGGCCTTTGCACTCCAGCTGAGCACCCAGTCAGTTTCTCCCTTGGGTTACCCTGTAGCTGCACCTGCTTTTGATGTCCATCCATCTTGTAGTTGCTGATTTAATGTCTTTGTTCATAAACTGCGAGTTTTTAAACATTCTGGAGAATAAGTAATAGCTTCAGTTACCTGTGTAGGTAACAGCACTTATCCTGATGTATTAAAGCAATTAAACCAGTTTGGTAATTTAAAGTTTGCCATGTTTTCAAAAGACATGTCTCTTGCCCACAGTTTAGATTTAGATTTGGTAGATCTAGAATCTGTTTAGATTTGTTACATGTGCCAATAAGAGTGGAGCTTCTGGTCCTGCGAGCAGCCATTTTACTAGAGCTTAGCAGCAGTTGTTACCAAGCAACACTACGTGAAATTTCAGTTTTCAAAACCAGTGAAAATTTCACACAAAATTCTTTTGCTGAGACGAGTGGCTTTGACTTCTGTGTATTGATGCATAAGTGCAAATAGATTGGGCTTGCTTTCCGGTATGTGCTGTCAACTGTTCGCCTTGCTGATAAAATACTGATAGAGAAGATTCTCCTTCTCCCCCTGTTGTATTTGTCCCTTCTAAAAACCCTCAGAAAGTGAGGAGGGGACTGGCTCAGAAGCCAATTTTGGAAAGCAACAAATATATTATTTCCAGCTACCCCCAAACATTGCAGCTAACCACTGTGTTTACTTGCTGGACTTCAGAGAGCTCTCTGCAGCTATGATGGTTAGACACAGATCTTTCAAGAACCCTTTTATCTGGAACTCGAGTCTGAGATCGAGCAATCTGATATCAGTTCAGTCTGAGATCTTTAGTCTCTCTGATCCAAGAGTACTCACTCCTTGCTCCTGTTCATCTGTGTCTTTACTGGTCTGCTGGGGTTGCTTAACATAAGAAAAGGGCTGTGACTTAGCTCCCCTATAAGAAACTTATCTCCATGCAAACGAGCGATCTTACACATCCCTTTTTAGTGCAGAATATTTTTTCAAACTAATTAATCATATTAGTAAAATGATAGATCAGTAAAACCTAACAAAAAAAAAAAAAGAACAATTGTAAGTAATATGCTTCACACAGCAGTGTATCTTTTGAGTGGATGTTGTGCACAGGTGGTCATGCTTTTCCCTAGGTTCAGTGAATGAGAACCAGAGACCATCAAATTCGTATAACGGAGACCTGAATGGACTGCTGGTGCCTGATCCCATTGTGGCTGGAGATGGACCTTCTTTGTCTAAGCCGGTGCATCGCAGCATTTCTCTGGGAGTCCTGCAGGAGAAGCAAGTCATGTAAGTGTTGTCCAAGAAAGGTTGAGAGAGTGAAGAGAACACCATTAAAAACTATTCCTGGACAAGCATGGTGGGAATCTGACAGTGCCTTTTAGGTTGAATTGAGCTGACAGTTACGAGTTGATGCTGTTGATCACAGGTGTCAGAGCTCTGTGACTTTTGTGATGCTGGTGCATGGAGCCTCACATCCTTGCTATTCAGGAAACGAAGAGCATTGACGGAGCTATTTAGGGAGAATGGGAGCAAGACTGACCAAATGATGGACATAGCAAATCAGGATGGAGTTAAATTAGCAGAGCTCTGGGTGAAACTTAGTGTTCTTGTGTAGACCTCCAGCTAGACTGCTTCAGGCATGTAAGTTACCTGAGAGGCAACTTACGCCTGTGTGCAGGGGAGACCACATGCTTGTCCAGTATCTATTTCCCCATAACTTACAACAGAGCGACTGATCCTAAGCTGGATTCCTACCTAACTCTCTGCTGAGTTGTGCATGTAAATAGGTGTATTTTGGACTGCATACACATATTTCCTGCTTGTAAACTAAAGAGCATGTGCATGTAGAATACTTAGGATTTTTTTTTTGTCATGTGAGTAATAACACAAGTCCGCCACTGCTTTCATACATCAGTCTAATCAGTGTAATACTTACCTTCATGCAGTGACTCTTTTCTTAACATCAGACCTCAAGTAAGTAGCTTTTGTTTCACTTTTCTGTTCGTAGTTCTGAGAGAGGATGCTATGAGAACCGTGAGTAACGTGCACTGCTGCTGCTGAGGTTCATCTAGTTGGCTTTGGTCTTTTTGCACTTTTTAGTGGTGGTGCTTTAACCAAGTGTAGGTCTGTGCTCAAGTCAGATTAATGAGCTGTGAGAGGAGACTGGAGGTTTTAAGCTGAGCAAGCCAGGTGCTTGACTCTCTTAGAATACCGAGAGATACATCGGGAAGGTAGACTCTGAACTAAAAATAGTTTTTGTTTTCAGTTGTTCAGCTTGGACCGACTAGATGCATAGATAAACGTTCTGCAATGTCGTTCAAAATTGCGGATACCATATAGCTAACCTCGGTTTATCTTCTTTCTGTGAATTTCTGTGTGATTTTTGCCGTTTGCCTTTCTTAAAAGCTGCCTTTCCGGTGATGACAGCTCCACTTGCATAGTGATATCAGCAAAAGATGTGGAGATAGTGGCCAGCAGTGATTCCAGCATCACCAGTAAGGCCAGAGGGAGTAACAAGGTAAGTAACAAAGGAAAGCATATTCCTGTCTCTTCTTTTTGGTCACCTTAGCTCAGTGAATGTTCCCGCTATTTTAAAACAGAAGTAACAATCTTCTTTCCTTTATTGTAGGAGCTAATAGTTACATAGAAGTTTGTCTCAGAGGTTACCAAGGGAAAAACAAATTGGAGCAGTATCTTGCAACTGGTTGTTACAGAGTCTGGCTACATTAACTTCTACTTCTCATAAATGAGTTCCATGATGTAAGCTGTAGGTTCCTGTGAAAGTGCCCTTCCTGCACTCACATGCTTCTCCTGTTGACTCTCTCTTCTCTGGTAGATCTTGACTATGGAGGGAGAGTTACTTTTGATAGCTTGTGAGCGTCAGTCTTGCTGAGGGCTCCAGCTGCAGAAGAGCCAATATGCTGAACTGGTGTTTGTAGCAGAGTACTACCAGCATGTGCTCAAAATAATTGGTGTTGCTCCGGAGAGAGAATGCTGGCCTTGGTCCTCTCAGCACTTTCCCATATTGTGTCATTTTGTTTCTCGGTATGTGCTGAATTAAGGGAACTCGGAGATCATAAATGAATACTTTACTGTATTATCCTCGTTTTCCACGGGTAATTCTGAAGATGCTCACAGGTGAAAGGGAAGATCCCTGCCATGACTTCCATAGTATTTTTTAATCCTTTATTCATAGTGGCAGTCTTTATCAAATAAGGCCAGGACTCTCAGTTTCTTGGAAAGCAGTATTAAAATTTAAGAGCAAGCATCATGCACCAAATGTGCTTCTATATTTCAAAAATATTTCGAGGAACTGGGATCCCCAGACATGGTGCTAATAAAGAGGTGAAACCTGCTTTGCTGTAGTTGAAGGTAGAGTGTTGTTCTGCAGGAACTCTGAAATTCAGTGAGTTGCATTCCTTCTTGCAATGGAATGAAGTAGTCGTCAGCCTCTAGAACTTTGAATATTTAGGCCTCTGCTACCTGAGTTTCAATAAGCAGCTCTTCTTGCCAGCTGCTGCCTATTAATTGTTACTGGTCTCTTTTTAGAGGAAGTCATGTGTTTGGCAAGTTTATTCCAGACATTTCTAATTTTTTTTTTTCCCCTCTCTTGAGCAGGTGAAAATACAGCCTGTTGCTAGATATGACTGGGAGCAGAAATACTACTGTGGCAATCTGATAGCTGTTTCAAACTCTTACTTGGCTTATGCTATTAGAGGTGAGAGATCTTCCTGTCTTGGATGTGATTTGTATTGATTTGCTCTGTGCATCTTTAAAAGAGGCAGAGTGTGCCTCAGAAGAAGGTATCTGGCAATAAGTGAAACACTTATTGTAATACTCAGATGAGAGTGCTGTTGTAGTGAGAATATAAGTGAAACTAGAGCTATAGTGGAGGGAACAGTTGGTGGTGTAAGAGTTTCCATTGAGAAGGAATGCTTTTCTGAAATTAGAAATGTGGTAAAGTGAAGGACTCGGTGGGGATGGGGAGAAGTTGAAGGATTGCATTGGTTTCACTGGACAGTAATCTGATGTTCAAATTATTACTCTAGTGAAATATCTGTAATAAACAAGTTTCTCTTTGGCTAAGTACAGAATCAGGCACATGGTAATTTGAGCAAATAGATGTTTGCAATAGATTTGCTTAAATAAATTCAGATTAGAATTTAAGGCTAAATTTGGAGAAGACAAAGAGCAATGCAGATGCACTGTGTTTTGGAGTAGAG